CCCTGCGACTGCGACGGTGGCGCTTGCTGAAACTGTTGTTGGTGATTCTGGTGGCCGTAACCACCGCGTTGAACATATTGTGGCGGTGGCTGCTGATGATAACTCGGCCGCGATTGGAAATTAGGGTTAGGGTTAATGGCTCCACGACCAGCACCAATCCCTGGAGGATACCTTCCTCGATTGTTGTTCATCACAACCCCCTTTTTTTTCTTGCTTCAAATAAACCAAAACTCTACCTAAAGAGGGATCTCTACAACTTGACACAACACCGTGTACAGAGAAATTAGGGTTTCCTAAGGTAATAATACACAACCTAAGGTAATGTCGGGATAATTGCAAAAATCGCGATTAAGTTACAGAGAAAGACAAAACAAAAAAAAAAACTCTTCCGGAGAAATCTAGGGTTTGTAAAAAAAATCACAGAATCGGAGATAAATGGAAGCAGATCTGGAAATAAAACTCAAGAATCAAGCGAAATTCGGGGGTTTTGGAAAGAGGTCCACGCAAAGAAGAACGAGAGAGAAATCGAGAAGAGAGACGAAGAAAGTTTCTCGCGTAAAACAGAGAGACAGAACAGAAGAGAAGAGCGAATGAGGAAATGTTTTTTTTATTTGGTCCGACTTTGGGCTTGGAATTCTGCAAGTCTCAAAATTTTATATAGTTGGGCTTTGTCTTGGGTTATATAGGCCTAGCAATATCTAACTCGTGTCTGAATCTCCAAAACCTATCTGCGTTTTTTGGTGGGAAAAAAAAAAATCTGGTTTCTCTTTGTTAAACCCTAAGCCACGACGAGGAGGCTGCTCTTTTGGCGGCTGGCGGGGGAAAAAATGGCTTCGTCGATGATTTTTACGGATTGTTCTTCCTCCACGGCGTCGCCGCTCATACATTTCAACCGTCGCAGCAGCAACACTTTCCTCCTCCGTCAATGCGTCGGCCAACTCCGACTACGGACCACCACTGCGCCTGGCCGTGGCTGCTCTCTCTCCATTCGCTGCTCTTCCTCTCCGAATCCTTCCAATTCGGGTATAACACTGACTCAACCATCGATATGAATTTTGAAAATCCAAATTCCAATCGCTTTGTTGGCCTAAATGTTGTTGTAGCGAGTAATCAGAATCATGAAATGGTATTTTTCTGGACAGATTCAGAGGCTTTAGCGAAGGTAATTGATGGAAAGGCTGTGGCAAAAACAGTTAGAGATGAGATTACAATCGAAGTTTCGAGAATGAAAGAATCAATCGGTGTGGTTCCTGGGTTAGCAGTAGTTCTTGTTGGGGATCGAAAAGATTCCGCAACTTATGTGAGGAACAAGAAGAAAGCTTGTGAATCTGTTGGAATCAAATCATTCGAAGTTCGTCTCGGTGAAGATTCATCAGAAGAGGAAGTGTTGAAATCTGTCTTAAGCTTCAATGATGATCCTTCTGTCCATGGAATCCTTGTCCAGTTACCGCTACCATCGGTACTGTCCTCTCGAAACAAAGTCTATGATCATATTCATATCTAGAAAAATGACAGTGATTTATATAGCATAGTTTTCTTGGATGTGTTATGTGTATGCAGCATATGGATGAACAGAACATATTGAATGCGGTTAGTATAGAGAAAGATGTTGACGGATTTCACCCGCTAAATATTGGACGGCTTGCGATGCGAGGAAGAGAACCATTATTCGTTCCGTGCACTCCAAAAGGATGCATCGAGTTGTTGCACAGATACAACATTGAGATCAAAGGAAAGACAGCGGTTGTTATCGGAAGAAGTAACATTGTTGGTATGCCAGCTGCTTTGTTACTGCAGGTAATAATACTTTCTGAAAGATACTGTTTTTATCTACGAGAAAATCAGTTACTCGATGTATCTTGTAAATGTAGAGGGAGGATGCAACCGTTACCATTATCCATTCAAGAACCAAGAATCCTGAAGAAATCACAAGGGAAGCTGACATCATAATCTCAGCTGTTGGGCAACCGAACATGGTTAGAGGAAGCTGGATAAAACCAGGCGCAGTCCTCATCGATGTTGGGATTAATCCTGTTGAGGTCAGTGCACAGTTTTTTTTTTTACAGTATGGTAATGCGATTATAATGGATTAGATCAATTCAGTATGTGACATTTGTAAACTGTGAACTGCAGGATCTAAGTGCTCCCCGTGGATATCGATTAGTTGGAGACATTTGCTATGAGGAGGCTTGCAAAGTTGCATCAGCCATCACGCCGGTTCCTGGTGGTGTAGGACCAATGACCATAGCCATGCTTCTATCCAACACTTTAACATCAGCTAAGAGAATTCACAACTTCCAGTGATCTTAATAGCCTAATAATACTACTATTTTCGTAGCCTAATAATATTTTGCTCTGGTCTTTGAGAAAGTGTCCTTTTTTGTTCTGTGAAACCAAACAGTATAATGCAGTTTACGTCGGATATAAAAATTCACATTTTAACA